AATAAAATGAATTGATTTAACATATTATTGTGTTAAATTAAATAATGCCGATAAGAGATGTGACAAAAACTTCTTTAAATTTTAATATCCCAGATTATAACAATAATTCTCAGTTTATAGAGCTTAATCGAAGGTAAATATTTCGATCGAAACTCCGAGACTTTACTTGAATAGCACACTTCGCAAATTGGAATAGTTAAATACTTTAGCAAAACGCTAATATTAGCAGTAATAACAGAGGAAGGAACTGTATCATATAGATACCTTTAATACACTCTACCCGGCGGGGATATCGAACTCTATCGCATAAACGGTTTCGTAATTTACATATAAAAAGACCTTCGAAATCTTATCTCCCGTATATTTTTGTTAAAATTTACATAGTGGTATTAATTTTAAAACCTCTTCGGCTACGTTTCTGCATTGGTTTAACAGAATCTAATGCAGGATGTTATCGCTAAAATGTTTTTTTTTTTAAGTATTTATTTTAAATGGTCCAGAAAGTATTCCTGAGTTTAATTACCTGCTTTTCAAAATTATTGGCACTTTTTTTAATAGCTACTATTGTACATAAAAACGCTGCGCAAAGGAACCAGAAGTGTCAGTCTTTTCATATAAGTTGGTAAACCTCAGCATATTATTGCGATGTAATTCTTTAAGCCGCAAGTTTATTGTAATGAACTTTTTTGAAACTGTTTTCAGTTAATAATTAGGAATACTATAGTGAAAGTATATCATAAAAGTCTAAGAAGATAGCCATTTAATTCTGACATTCAACGGTGGGGGAAAACTCTTTTGGACATCAAAATCACGAAACAAGACACCCTGGCATATTTTGGCCGATGCTAGGATACTAGGCTAAAAGACTCCAGGGTAGTGTCGGATTAACCGTCATTAACTATTAATAGTACATTGTTTACCGGGTAGGAAAAGCTTAACATTCCTGGACGACTGTTAAGATTGCTAAGTCGAGGCGCAAGCCGAGACTTAGCAACACAGAGTCCAGGAATGTGGCTTTTCCTACGAGGTAAACATACTATTTTTCCGCAAATCGTTTAAAATTCGACAGATATTGATTGATTAAAAAAAAAACGCGATAATTTTATTCCCAAATAAATGGTGCTTTGAAATTCCTAATAAAATTACTTGGGTTACTATGGAAACGTATTGAGGTTGAATTGTCAAACTTGACGCTTATAAATTTAATTGTTGGTGTTCTCGAAAGTAAAATGATAAGTGATGATGAAATTTCCATTCCTGGGACTCCTCCAGAGCTGGTTGAGGCAGTGAATACTGCTTCATTAGAATTATTGCCAAAGAAATCAAGAGAAAAGTACAAAAATGCATACAGACGTTTTATGGATTATCGCTTGAGTAAAAATACGAGTTCTTTCTCAGAAAATGTTGTAATGGCATACTTCCTAGACCTTTGTTTAAAGATGAAATCTTCAACATTATGGGCCAATTATTCAATGCTTCAATGCTGAAGTCAACCCTTGCACTTAAACACAATGAATATATATTTACATACTCAAAACTTCGTTCTTTATTGAAACGGCAAGCTCAAGGTTATAGGGCAAAGAAATCTAAGATTTTAACGAAGGAAGAAATTGAAAAATTTATCCAGGAAGCTCCAGGTAAAGAAAATTTAATGATTAAGGTAATTTACAAGGTTTTAATTTCTATTTAGATTATAGCTTTATTTATTTTTTAGGTGGCTCTAATATTTGGTATTTCTGGGGCCTGTAGAATGGATGAGTTAGTCCGAATGACTGTACACGATATAGAAGACTTAGAATCTAAGCTTTTAATCAGCATACCTGATTCGAAAACCAACAAACCAAGATCATTTGTAATTAATCAGATCTACTTGAATGTTTGTCGAAAGTATGTTTCGTTAAGACCAGAAAATATGAACAGTGACCGATTTTTCTTTAAATATCAAAGCGGAAAGGGTTGTACACAATAATTGCTACTTATTTAAACTTGGTAAATCCGACAGAATATACTGGTCACTGCTTTCTTCGGTCTTCTGCAACAATATTGGTTGACTCTGGTGCCGACATAACTAGTTTAAAGAGGCATGGCGGATGGAAGTCATCAAACGTTGCTGAAGAATATATCGAAGAATCGCTTAACAATAAGGTTGAGGTGGCAAATAAAATTTTCACAGTACAAAATATTCAACAAAATGACACTTCCACCCTGCATGTTGTCCAAAATGTTTCTCATAGTTCTAAGAGTGTTCCTCCAATGTTCAATAATTGTACTAACAACTGTCAAATTACTGTAAATATAACAAATTGATCTTAAAAATGTATTCAGCAATGACTTGATGTTTTCAAAATATAAATTAATTCCTTATAAGCAATGTGTTTTCTATCATTTATGTAGAACACTAACAACTGTACGGAAATATCATTTCCTTACAGTAAGGAAATGACATTTCCTTACAGTAAGGAAGTCCTGACTTTTTCTTTAAGAAATTTTGACAGGAATGTCAAAATGTTTCTTTCATTCAGCCCGAAACCCTTTCGCCTCTCGAGATCTCCCATCTTATTTGCCCATCTCTGGCAGTTAAAAATGTGGGCGGGAGTGTCCGGTACCCCACAAACGGTACAGTCTGCCGAGGCAGATTTACCTATTTTATTTGGGAAGGTACCAAAATTACCATATCCGGTCAGAAACTGCATCAGGAAGTAGACTAGTTTCCTGAACTTACATTCCCACCACGGTTTCAGATCGGGAATAAGTTCCTTTGTTAATCTTATCTTTCCACTATCATTCGCTTATTCTCTCTGCCACTAAACTCTGTAGTACTAAAGATTACAAAAATTACACTACACAGAGTACCTCTGTGTGGTGCAGTGTACTCTTTAGTACACTACACTACACAGAGGCAGCGTAGATTACCACCAACTGGAAAACTTCATTTAGCAGTTTCTTTTGGTGCTATTTGGGTCTGATATCTGACATGTTTTTTGGATGTGTACTCCAAACCTTAGACTTTCCGACAACCAGACTCCCAGATGCTTAATTGATTTAACCGGTGCAATCTTCACACCTTTCACTATAAAGCGAACAGAGAATTTTTCCCGGGTCCCTTTGAGCACTAACACCTGTTTTCTAAGGCACTAGCTGTAGATCATTCTATCTGATCCACCTACTAATGCGACGCAGTGCTGTATTAGCCGCATTAGCCATGTCCGTTTTCTGACTCGGTTTTGCAAGTAGTGCGAGATCATCGGCATAAGATATGAGTGCATCCACTTGGAATCTGTAGCCTCAACCCCATCGTACAGGACATTCCACAGGATGGTACCTAGTACTGAACCCTGCGAAACACCCTGCGACAAAATGATGCTGGTATGTTTTCTCTTATGGACCTTTTAGTACGTCTTAACCTGGACAGTTTTTTATTTTTTTGTAGTACATCAGTTACTAGATTTTAAATATATTTTTATTTTATTTTATAAAAAAATGCTCGTCAACCGCTGTACCAGAGTCGAAGGTTTTCTGGTACATAGGGTGTACCAAATGCTAAAAAGCGTATCAATAATAGGTATAGGACCTTAAATAATACAAAAATTCTGCACAGTATTTAAATAATATGGTTTAAAACAATCCCAGCACAAAGCCACTTTAAAGTCTACGTACTCTATATCATTGCGTTTCTATAATCCCGTTTTTGAGTACTGCTGGCATCGTTTTTGCATGGTTTTCTGCTTCAAATGATTAACATTTTAAAAATACTCCATGCTCAATTATTGCCTCCAAATGTTTTGTCTCGCAGACAAATCTTTTATAAGATTGGTAGGTGAGACATTACTTTTTTTCTACTGTTACTTTGCTTAAGGGATTCCTAATAAAGTATGTACCAATTTACTATGAATGTGTCAAAAAGGTGATAAAATAACTTTATCTGCCATAGACGACTTTTCAAAGCTACTGAGTATGTCTGCATTCGTTGGTCAAACCGATCAACACCGCCCATATACATATTGTAGTCTACAATGGCTTGAGGACAGCGGATGTTTTTTCGTTCTCCAGTTTTTGATGTTCTTAAAACAAAACCAGTTTCTGCATAATTGTGCATATTGCTACATACGGTCACAGATTTTAAGCCACGATCCTTCCACTTACTTATAGTAATATCGTAACAGACAACTTCATCAATTTCACCCATGTTTATTTTTCTGTCATCTACTAAATGTGGTTTTGTAAATCATAAGTGCTTGTAAGTCAAAACCATGTTAAAAATGTAAAAAGAACATGTTAAATGATGTAAAATTCAGTATTTGTAAGAGCTGTTTCCACACTGGCTGTACAAAAAATCATAGTACAGTTTATTGCTGACGTTTACATGTTGTACTCCGACACTGGTAACAACCGACCTAGACCAAGCATTTTACGATGCTATGGAAACTCAAGGTAGTAAGCTAGTTAACTGACAGGTATTTTCATGTATTCTTAAATAAAAAGATTTAACAATTATTTTGAATTAAGAAACAAAATAAATATTTTAAATGATCTTATTGTCGTATTAAAATAAAAATGAGACAAAAACTGGAAATTTAAAACATGTACAAAGAAGTGAGATATCCTTTAAAATTTTAATTAACAACAAAACTTACGCTAACATACCTATGGTCAATCCTGCTATCATTCATTGCTTCTATATGGCTGTCTATTTGGATCGTGTTGAGCGCTTTATGCAAATCTATGAAAGTGAGGACAAGTGGTTTGTTGTATTCTATAGATTTTTCAATGAGCGTCTATACTGTATGGAGGTGATAATTGGTACCATAATTTTATCGGAATCCTGCCTGCTCACTCGGTTGGTAGAAATATAATCTTTTTTGCAATCTTTATGTTACTAACCTAGTGAAGAGCTTGTATAGTGGTTCAACGGACTAATAGGTCTATAATTTTCTAGGTCCGTTCTATCTCTTTTTATTTTACAAAAGAATGGTTATAGTTATGTTCCATTCTTTGGGTACCTAACTTTGCTGCAAACATAGATAAAACAGTTTTCTTACAGTATACATATAGTATACATAACAATGTATACTATTAAATTTACTCTGAAGAACTATCGTGTAACTCATCTGAACCATTGGATCGTAATTGTATTATCACGGATTTAATCACGTTTTGCGTTATTCCAACATTTGATGGATCCAACTTACTTCAATTCAGTTCAGTAACAAATTGTTGTACGTACTTAACGTTTTTGTAAGTAGCTACTATAATAATACAACATCTTTGTTTCATGTATAGAAACTTGAAAATAATACATGAATCATTTCATTGTGCCAAAATTAATAAAAAATCAAAACGTTTCTTATCAATTATATATACCAATTTTTGTTTCATTTCCGACCTTTTTCAAAAATAAATGTCCTAGTATAATTTTTCATCGAGATTTAATTAACGTATCATACATGTTTGGATGATTTATGAAAACGGGTTACTTTTTCATGTTTCAAGATTAATTCATTGGTATTTATCATTGCCGTATATGCTGAATGGTAACGTTGTGTGATCTCTCCTATAAAACACTATGAATGTAAATCATTTTTGTGGAACAATTACAGCGTAACAATGCGTTGTCAAAGCGTTTATGCCGATTTGGCGGAGATGTCAACTTTTGTGAATTGGCTAATTATAGTCGCTTTTTGTTTTGCGTGATGTTATACTACATGATTGTGTAAATATTATATTATTGAAAACTTTACAAGAAAAAACTAAGCTGAATTTTTAAGAATTTTACTGAACTCAAAGATCTTCTTCTTGTGGTGCCTATCCGTTACGGTTATATCTCTCTTACGATACAACTTCAATAAACGATGCAGAGCAGAATTATAACTGGGTCTAACTATTTAGAGCATACTATGTCTTGTAATTACTTCCAACTCGAAGGACCACTTACTGGTGTGAGAAATAAGAACACAAGCAAATTAATTTCTATTAAACTGGGAATAAGCCATAATTAAAGATAAAAATACGTTTATTGACGTTTCAATTTCCACTTCGGAAATCGTTCTCAAAATACAAACAGTAAATTAAACAAATTTTGTTTTTTGTTACATAGTGAAAAATTCTTCTAATAATTTAATTTTATCTGACTCATTTATATTGACAATTCAGACATACATTATGCATTTTAAAGTAGACGACTTTAAAATGATATTGCCAATAGTGTTGAGTTGCGCTCCTGAGACGACTTTACTAATAAGATAGTTCATTCGATTACATGAAATCAACTTTAACTTGAGAATATCCGTCAGAAAAAAAAATCATAGCATGTAATTCGTCTTTAAAATGACAAACACATGACATGATGACAGTAAAATTCTCCTGTTAGTGATTCCATAGTACATTATGAGGGAAAACCAGGAAAAAAACCTCATAATACTATCCCGACATTGTAAGTATTTGTTCGTGAATTTAGTTTACCTTCAACAAACATCAAAATTCTGATTTTATATGTTACGTTATTTAAAAAACATAAATGATGTATCCTCTATATGTTACTGACTTAGTAATACTGGTATTTTCTTATTAATAACTTCCTCTTTCAATATTGGTAACCAGATCCTACTACATTCTGCCGAGGAATTTGCGACACAATTGGCCTCATTTAGCATAATTAGAGCCGCTTCTTTGATTTTTCTTTTTTTACTATCCGTTTCTTTTAGGACTACATTTGAATTATTCCATTGAACCCTATGCTCATTATCCCATGCGTGTTTACAGATTTGAGATTTTTTTTTCTGACGGATATTCTTAAGTTAAAGTTGATTTCATGTAATCGAATGAACTATCTTATAAGTAAAGTCGTCCCAGGAGCGCAACTCAACAATATTGGCAATATCATTTTAAAGTCGTCTACTTTAAAATGCATAATGTATGTCTGAATTGTCAATATAAATGAGTCAGATAAAATTAAATTATTAGAAGAAATTTTCACTATGTAACAAAAAACAAAATTTGTTTAATTTACTGTTTGTATTTTGAGAACGATTTCCGAAGTGGAAATTGAAACGTCAATAAACGTATTTTTATCTTTAATTGTGGCTTATTCCCAGTTTAATAGTAATTAATTTACAATGCCACAAGAAAATAGCTTCAGAACAATATTAAGAACACAAGCAGTTTAAACAATACGTAATTTAATACTTTAATGTTACTACAACTAAATTAATATCTAGCCAAAGTTTTAGCTTAAGTTCTTTTAATAAAAGCACCTGGTTCACTTTCACTTTACATACACTGGTCCGCGACACAATACACTAGCACTGGTAGAGATTAAAATGTTACTAATAATATTATCACTTCAACTAAGGACGTTTTCTTCAACGTAAATATACCTGATTAAGACTGAGCGTTCAGCTTTTAAATATAAGCCACCAGCTTAGCTGGGATATAATTTTATACTGACTGAATACTTAAAATTCTGATTGCATTGCCGGACTATTGCCAAGGGGATGGCGATGGACAACTTCGATATTTCTATACAGAGGTGGGTAAAAATCCAACCTTTAACCCTCCGTTCATCGGGTGTGGTCTATGAGTGTACGATAAAATAAAAATTTTGGATAATTCTCTTTATTTATTTTTTTTAAATTTCTACCTTTTCAGTACCTTCCTAGAAACTAAATACCATTCTTTTTTTTTATACAAAACTGTTTTTGAAATTTCTAAATAGCTGCTGCATGGCAGTTTGTCCTGACAGACCCCACCCGATAAAATGTGTCACAATATTTGCACTGCTTCTTAATTGTATTTTTCTTGCAATCTTGTTTCACTTGGCCATTCTGTGCATTTTTACGAACTGGATTATTCGGTTGTTCCGAGAAAATACGTCAGTTCACTGACTGCCGTATGATATATACCGAAGAAAGAAAAAAATGTGATTGCTGTTTCCACTATGCACAGAGATGATCAGATTGATGAAGATACTGGTGATCAGAAAAAAACCAGAAATAATTACTGTTTATAATTCCACCAACAGTGGAGTAGATGTTGTAGACAGAATAATCACATCATATAATGTTTCCAGAAATACGAAACGTTGGCCAATGATAGCAGTTTATAATCTCCTTAATCTCGCAACAATTAATGCATTTGTAATTTACAAAAGCAACAACCCAGACAGAGAATTTTTCAAAACGCGAAGATTATCCAAAAAAACCTAGGTATGGAATTGGGAAAACCTAGGAGAGTATACGACGGAGAGCAGTTGACACGCATTTGACAAAAGCTCTGCGTGCTGCCACCTTAGGACTCTAAAGCATTGAGGTTGTCGTTGTACCAGAGCCCCAGCCAGGTAAGAGAGGAAATTGTAAATATTGCAAAAGACGCAAAACTTGCTTTTTTGATTTATTATGACCACATAATAGCATGCTGCAATTTGAGATTGTTTCTGTAATAAACATTATATAGTAAATGATTTGTTTAAAAGACGTTGATGCGAAATTAGCAATAAAATGTATACTGTTGCTCGGGAGGCGGTATTTCATTTTGGTCCTCACAGACCACACCCGACCGAAAGTGTTTCAGAATGGTCACCCGATGAACGGAGGGTTAAATTATTTCTAACAGAAAAAATTTGGGAATTGATCGGAAAAAGTTAATCAGTGGGTAAAAATATGTTTTGAATACATTTTCGGCTACATGAGAATTCTCTAGAGAATCTACCTAGGTATAATTTAATACGTGTAAGTTAATTGTTACCAGTGGCTTAGCAACACTTGAATACATTTTTTAATGAAATTTATCCACCAGTAAATGTTTCAACAGTTTCGGAACTGTCGGTATGCTTTGTTGACAGACTAAGCACATCAAGCTTATCATCCCGTTTTATGACATACATTCTTCTGCCAAAAAAATTCCCATTTTTGCAGTTTCTTACCCACAAAGTATATATGATTTTCTTTCAAAGTTTCGTAGTTTAAAAATTATCTGCGATAATACTGCGTCAAAAGGTTCCTTAGAAAGATTCGTTACAGTTTTGGGAACCAAGTTAACAAATATTTGTGTATTTTCTGAGTAATATATAATTTAATGATCAGTTTAGTTGACTTTATATTAGTTCAAGTAGGTTTATTATGTGCATTTGCAATTTATGAAAAATATATCAATTAAATTTATAATTTTTGACTTTTAACCTGGTTAATATTGAAATTATCAAAAATCGAATTGTGTATAATTTCGATACAAAAATTGGTTTCTACACGTCAAATTTTTGTTAGATCTATATAAAACCGACTCTGGTATAAATAATGTGCCATTATTTTATCTATATTTTAACATATAACTTGTCGCTATTAAATTGAAAATAAATCAATATTTACGCTGTATGATCAAAAGTAAATATATCGAAAGCTCACAATGAATTACCCACTTTGCATATTTTCCCGATATTAAATAGTAGGTTATCATCAGTAATATTTCGGGAATTAGCACTATAAAATAGACTCTGGCAATTTGAATAAATTATTTGAGAATATACAAATTTGTTTTTGTTTTTGCAACAGTAATTAAAAAACAGTGTAAAAATATTACAATGTGCAAAATATACATGTAGGAGAGTTAGTAGAAATAACCCTGCTGAATAATGAAATACAGAAGATATTTTTTAAATATATCTATATTATTTATTAAAATATAAGAACCTTGTGCTACATTGCAGTTTTTTCGTTTATTGCCAACCTATTTCAATGAAGTCTTTTTTAATTGTAAATTTGGTAGAATGAAAGCATTTTTTTTATTTACAAATTCGCATCAACCCGAAGGTTATTAGCGAGAATCAGATTTAGAATATTAAATATATTATATATTAACAAAATTAATAGTTTTTAAGTAGTTTTACATATTTGTAAATGAACAATTTGCACCAAGTGCTTTCTCTAAGTTTATTGAGATACCAGAATTGATTACTGCTGTGGAGCAAACTGGACAGTCTACAACACCATGTTTCACCGAGAGTTTAACGTTACACTGCTCACATTTTGACCTAATCCAAGACGAATTATTGTCACTTGATCCCTTCTTTTAGTGGGGAAACATCTCCATGGTTTAATATTCCGAAGATTGGACACTGAAAATTCCCACCGGTTTTGAAACTGACTTAGGATCCGCGATTTGATAACACTTGAAATATCACTAGCTATCACGTATTTCACAATAATAGAGTCAGCTGAGTTGACGGCTTCACGCAAACACTTATCTGGTTCTTCATTACCTCTAATACCATTATGTGATGGAATCCAAATAAATATTACCCCCTTATTATAATTTTCTATATCAGATTTTGTTTTAATTGTAATAGTCGTTGATATTCCACTGTATTAATTTATTTAACTCTATTTTATTAAATAAATTTATTTAATGATTGGTTTGTGAGCAGTCACTGTCTGTATCGGATACTAGGTCGTGTGGGATTTGCATCTGTAGGTGTTTTAAAACAATTTTTCTTAATTTGGTATTTCGTGTCTTTTTAGATCTGTCTTGAGTATAGGGATATATTTTGCTTAACATATCGATGAGAGCTGTAAAGTTGTTTGTATAATTATCAACGGTAGTAAGTGGATCGGGTGAATTCTTTATGTTGCCAAGTAGGTCTTTTATCTAAACATAGCTTAAAATAAATGGTCGTGACTACTGGTTTATGAATGTGGTCCTTCGAGCCGGATCAAATGTTTAGTAATTAAACTTGAGAAGTCGCTGGTTTAAATTATATTGAATAAATAATTATAACGAGAAAATGCGATATTGTTGATACATAAAATTGGTGAAAATAGCAATTATAAATTGTAAAAGTAGAAATAAATTAGAAATAAACTGGTTTACTCATTATCATTGTGTTATACAAGAATATACTTACCCTTTCGTTCTATTGATGAATTCGTACCAGGCTGAAGAGTCGGTCGGTGGTACCGACGCTAGCGTGACCGTCCCGAGGCTTAGCACGAGAACCGTCCGGAACTATATGCGTGTCGATCGATCGTTGTCTGACGAAGAAGTGGCAGTTGAGAATGAGTTGATATGGTCAGAGCTATGAAGAAACCCTCTACTAAGCGGTGGTCCCAGAGGGTGTACCAATAAATCATTCCATTGTATTGCGACCTTTCCGATAATTTTAGCTAATTGTGACGGTAACACGAAACTTTTGTGTGTATATTTTTGAACCATACAAAAGAGAAGCCAAATTCTCCGTATTCACAACATCATAAATGAGATATCCAGTTTAAGTTTTATGAGACAACAGGAAACAATATATTTTAAAAAGGTCTTTTAAAATACAGCACCAAATTAGATCATATTACAGTACCGTAACAGCAAACATATTAACTGTAAAAATATAAAATGAATGCGCAAATACTTTCTCAAACAGAATGCTTCTAGAGATTTACCTTTATTAAGTTTTTTTTTAGGATTAAATGGTATTTCTATATTATCTATTTCTATATTATATATTTCTATATCACAAAAAATGTTGTTGAATTTTTTTTTGTATCGTCAATAGTAGTTCTTTTTGAACTGTTCTGTGAAGATTCAACTTTCATATGTAAGGTAGTTGTTTTGCTCGTAGTTTGTTCTATATTTAGTTGATTTTCTGTAGTTGGGGTGTCTGTTTGACTTGAAGTAGATGTTGGTGTGATGGTTGATATTTCTGGAGAGCTACATATTAAAATTTCTTCTGCTGTGGTTGGAGAAGTAGGATTTGGGATTGGATTGATAGGGGTTTTGCAGTTAGTTGCCGTATGCTTATTTTGTTTACAGCTGTAACACGTTAGGTTGCCGCTTGATAAAAAGATTCTATATGAAGTATTATCTTAATTAATTAAAAACAATTCTGGAATTGAAAGATCTGTTATGCTGATAAATATTTGTCTCCTAAAGCTCATTATATGACTAAATTCGGGTAAAGGTGCACCAATTTTTAAAAAGACATTGTAGATAGAATAACAAGCCCCATGGATTCAAGTTCTTTAATTAATACATCATGAGGAATGGATGGCCAAACATTAGGGAGAATGATTCTTTCGAAGGGAGTTATATACCGTCGAGTTTGTATAATCTGGTTATTAACTTCTTCTTCTTCTTCGTGTACCATGTCCTTTCAGAACGTTGGTTACCATGATAGCTATTTTAATTTTATCCACTGCCACCCTAAATAGCATGCTTGTATCTACACCACACCAATCTCGCAAGTTCTTCAACCATGAGGTTCTTCTTCGTCCTGGACGGCATTTGCCTGCTATTTTTCCTTGCATGATATTTTGTAGCAATCTATATTTGGGACCTCTCATTACATGTCCGAAATATTCCAGCTTTCTCTGCTTGATCCTTTTTATGATCTCAGTAGTCTTGCTGAGACTTTCTAGTAATGTGGAGTTACGAATCTTCTCCACGCAGAAAACTTTTAAAATTCTTCTATAGCACCACATTTCGAAAGCCTCAAGGCAATTTAGATCGATTTTATTCACAGTCCAGGACTCGACAACATAAAGTAAGACGGAGAACACGTAGCAGCGAAGTAGGCGGATCCTTAATGCCAATTTTAGGTCTCTGTTACATAACACCTTGGACATCCTTCTAAAAGCAGCTCTAGCCTGCTCTATTCTGGATCTAATTTCGCCGTGATTTTCTGCATTATAATTTAATTGCTGTCCAAGGTAGACGATTTTATCAACTTAACTTCAGTGTTGCCGTTATTTTCATTCCTGAAGTTTTCTACGATATTTTCAGATAGTAAATATAAACATATTTTACTGTTTGATAATCTAGAGCAGAATAGTATATTTTTTGGATGGATGATTTCTCCCAGAGGGAGGAGGTAATCTTGTATTTTCGCGTCTTCAATAGAATTAAAAATGATAGCTTGCCGTTTTGACGGAAATTTTTGTTGGGCTGGTGCGGTAGAGTAACTTCTTTGTGTAGAATTATCCATTTGAGAATTGCCTGGTAAATGTATTTCATTGATTTGCGACATATTCGTTGATGTTTAAACATTACTAAAGACGGACCTGTCCGCCGCCAGAAAAAAAAACCAGCCAAAGATACAGGTCAATGGTAATTAAATGTTTTTGTTTATCGTCAAGCAAATATGGATATGAAAATTTTCAATGATGTTAAATACGTACTAATTATATATTTTCGGTGAAATTTACAGTAAAACTGTACTTACATACTAGCATACTAGCATTCAGTTAATCACTAATAACTTTACAAAGCGTAGTTATATTTTGAAAACTTGTTCTTACTTAATTTGAACTATTTTGGAGAGCGTGCCCATTTCACTTCAAATTAAATGCCACACAACAATTTTGCATAACTTTAGTTAAAACTTATAGTATATAATAATAATTGACTAAAGAGTACTCTTCAATTCAAGATAGAATCACCAAAGAATTTGTAAAAATTGGTCTGGACATAGACGATATTTTCAGTATTTTATATAAAGATAATGAAGACTTACCTTAGTTCTTTTAAGCTGTCGTTTTCCTTTATACCATGTTATAATCGCTGGGGGACGAGATCCAGCCGATTCGCAAGTGACTTCATAACGTTTATCAGCTACTAAAGGACTTTCAGTTTTGAGAATTGTTGCAGTTAACGGTGGTACTGCAAATACAACCAAGTTGTTAAATATATTATACATTTATTTAAAAATTTATATGTTTAAAATAAAAACATGTACTTTTTAATACTATAGTTTGAAAAATTATTGTCTATTACAAACTAAAGGGAAAATACATTTCAACTATATTATAAACGTAGTCTTAGAAATTTAAAAATATTTGTTTTGGTCCATCAGAAACGCAATCAGCAATGATATTTTTTTATGTCAAAATTTAGAACCCCACTGACCTTTGATATTATATCAAATTTAATCTGAAGATCAGCATTTACTAGATATATGTAATGTGTATGCATGATTAATTTAGAAAAAAAGCGATTTTTTATTTGTTTATTTTTTTATCTCAACGACTTAAAAATTGCCCAACCAATAAAAATAAAACGTGGAATAAGGCAAGGAGATGTCACCGAAATTATTCATAAAGACATCAGTTTATGCCTTTAAGATGGTCAATTGGGACGACACAGGAATAACAGTAGACGGCGAAAAGCTTAAGCATCTCCGTCTCGCAGATGACATTGTCCTTATCACAGATAATTTAGGAAAAGCCAGCCACAGATATGTTAAATGAATTGGACTTTGTATGTTCGAAGGTGGGCCTCAAAATTAACTTGACCAAAACTAAGTTTATGACCAATATTGTTCCCAATAACCATCTAACTATTCAATACAAAGTGGTAGCACTGGTAGAGAAATATACGTATTTGGGTGATGAAATAAGAATTAGCAGAGATAACCAAACATGCAAAATCCAAAGACGAATTACATTAGCGTAAGCCATTGGAAAACTAATTAAGACTTGATGGGCGGAAACTATGACTCTAACCAAGACTACGGCTTCAGAATTGAGAGTGGCACAGAGATAAATGGGAGTGACGTTGCGGAACCGAATAAGAAACGAAGATGACACTGTAAGGCCTAGTTTTGAAATCTAGGTCGGACAGAAACGGCCCCTGCCTCTGAGGTAAGAGAAACTTGAAGAGGATCCCTCCCTGAGAAATCAGGGAGAGAACTACCGAGAGGTTGCTGGGACGACACCCAGGAAAACCGTCAGGCAGCGGCCAGGCGGAAAGACAAAAACAGAGTCTTCAGAGTAGCAAACTCAATATAGTCTTTTGAACACTTATGTTCACTGCCTTACGGCATTATGAGTGATCCCTCTCCCCAAAAAAGTGATGTCACGCAGGTGACATCACAAGAAAAAGATGATGATGACAATTCCAAGTCACCCACCCCGTCAGTTACATCTGCAAATAAATTATATAATGAATTTACTTCAAATTTAAAACCCGAATCAGCGTTAATCGTAGAGACTTCAGACGACGAATCGTTCATCCCGGACGAAGAAGATGCCGAAGAAGACGAAAGCGAGGTGGAAACAGACGACAGCGTCTCGATCACCATGGAAGTTACCCTCGACGAAGAGCTGAGCCCGGCCACCGAGTCGATTGTAGCCCCGCCCCCAACAAACGATGAAATATATCCCATAGTGGACATCATCTCCACCGCAACTAATGCCGAGCCGGAGGTAGGTAGGAAGAAAAAACGGCAAAGGCCAACCGCAGACTCCTCAGAAGACGAGGAAGAAAGAAAAAGAACAAAGGAAAAAGACGAAAATGAGCTCTATAAGTCGGTAGATCTACTGACCGAACAGATCAGACTGCTAAAAGAAGAGAGCCGTCAAAGGGAAAAACAAGCAAATGCCCAAATACAAGACCTTCTAACTCAGATGACTGAGTTACGGAAAGAAAACAAGGCAAAGGACGAAGAAATCAAGAAGCTGGTCGGCCATATAATGGCTCTGACCGAAAGAAATGAAAGGAAAGAGCTAGAAGAAAAGAGAAGAGACGAAGTCATCTGGGAAATAACCAGACCAGGAAGCCCACCCTGGGTGGGAATCGCCGCCCCTTCTACGTCTGGTTGCGGAGGAAAGCCAAAAGAATAGAAGATAATACAAGAAAAAGAAAAAAGCGAAGCAGGATGGACAAAAGTCCAAAAAAAGGAAAAAACAAAAGGCACCGCTACTGAGAAATCAGTCAACAGTAGCGAAAAACCGAAAAAGGCACTGAGTATTGTTGAGAAACAAACTTAGAAAATCAACGAAAGAAAAGATGAAGCGCTCACAAAAGCTGCTAAAGAAATACAAAAAAGAAGTGAGCAGAAAAAAGCCCAGAAAAACTTGGAGGTACCGAAAGAACCTCCAGTTGATAAAGAAAACGTCGTTGACCCTCAGATACCTGCAGAGGTTAACGTTAAGAGACCTAAACCTCCTGCGATCATCTTAAAGATGGTCGCAGAACATCAAGCGATCCTGCAAAAAGCAGCCAAGACAGGTATCGTTTCTGACAATAAGTTTGCCAGATCAGGCAGATCTATTGTCATTAACATCAAAACTAGGGAAGATTACCTAGGAGTAGTCAAAATACTTGAAGAACACACCCCGAAGGTAGAGTACGTTGCCTACCCGATAGACAGCGACAAATTAAAGAGGGTAATCCTAAAAGGGCTAGCGGCGAGCACAAGCACCGAACTTATTCTTAATGAATTAAGAAATAAAGATGTCGACGTAACTAGAGTCAGTAACATGTACTCTAAAAAAGAGGGAAAACCAATACTGCCTTTCTTTATGATCACCCTCAAAGAGGATGACATACAAAAAATACGCAAAATAACAAACTTGTGCTACATGAGAGTTCGTTTCGAAGACGAAATCAAGACCACAAAAGATACCCTACAGTGTTTCAACTGCCAGGGTTATTACCACAGTTCAAAGGCTTGCTACTGCGACTCCAGATGTGTAAGGTGTGGTGAAAACCATCTCAGCAATGAGTGCGGAAAAAGCAAAGAAACGGCTCCAAAATGCGCCAACTGCGAACAGGCGCATACGGCCAATTACAGAGGATGCTCAAAAGCTCCTAAAAAGAAGACCCCTGCCCCCGTAAAACCGGCGGGCAGACCACTCAACCCAACAACAACAACCACGGGTTTCAGCTACGCACAAGCAGCCAAGAAAACCCCAGAACAAGCGGCCCCAACGATGCAAGACGCAGCCGCACTCATTGCCACATTCCAGACGGAATACAATAAGAAAATGATGGAGATGATGTCCGTGATGGATAGGGCCACAAAAATGATGACTGCATTCGGTGAAATAAATCGACAATGTTAGCGAACCATACGTAGGATCTACGCATAGGGTCCTGGAATTCCGGTGGAATTTTCCAAAAACTCAACCTTTTGGACAAAATGATAAATAGATTAGAGCTCGATATCGTAGCCCTTCAAGAAACGAAACTAGTGGAAAGGAAGAAAACCAAATTTCCAGGCTACGATATCTATAGAACTGACCATAGAGCAAGATCAGGAGGAACAGCCATACTAGTTAAAAAAGGCATAGAACATGAACACATCCCAACACCAGGTGGACTGGTCACAATGGAAGCCACGCTAGTAAGACTAAAGGCCAACAACGAAACACTAAAAATAGTGTCAGCTTATGTCAGACCTAACGAACCGATATTCGATGAAGATTTGAGCCTAATCCTCGACACAGAAGAGCCCACGGTAATCATAGGAGACCTTAATGCGAGATCTCCCAACTGGTTCGATAGAGCGACCAACAATAATGGGAGACGACTTTGCAGCCATCTCGAAAATAGACCAAACACCTACGTGATCGGACCAACAGAACCGACCTGTTTTCACGGACAACTCCCTACACATCTAGACATTGCAATCCTACACAACGTGGGTCAACAATACGAGATACGCTCTCTAAACGAAGGCGATTCGACGCACAATCTAATCGTTTTGACCCTGGGCGCAATAGAACTAAACTATTCGCAGCCCCACAAAAGAAAGATAACAAGTTGGCCAAACTTTAGAAGAATTGTGAGCGAAAACATCGGTAACATTCCAACAATAAACAACATCACAGAACTAGAAGACAGCGTAACCAAACTAGAAGAAACTATAATTAATGCTATCGATGCCAGCTCCAAAACCGAAACAATCACAAGACAAAAGGGAAGATTCGGAGATATAAGTCAGGATCTACAAGACTTAATTAAAGAAAAAAACAGAAAAAGAAGAAGAGCCTATCGTACTAGAACATTAGAAGATAAAAGGATTGCAAATGAGCTAGACAGGGAAGTTAAAAGACAACTACGAAATCACAGAAATGAAAGCTGGGACAACTATATCCAAGAATTAGACCCTAACAAATCCGCCTTCTGGAAATTATCGAAAATCCTCCGACAGGACAAGAAACCCATACCTCCCTTACATGGAGTAAACGGGATTGTCCACACGGAAATAGACAAAGCTGAAGTCCTAAAGGACGAACTAGAAAGGGCATGTAGAAATAACGAAAATCCCAATGAAGACATAGACTTTGAAGAAGAGGTAGAAAGAACAGCCAGAAGACTAAAGAGAAGAAAGGGCAGAGTAGGAATAACACATACATCTCCCGAAGAAATAAAAGATCTAATAAAACTAACAAACGCCAAAAAAGCCCCAGGACCTGACAACATCACAAACAGGGCACTAAAAAATCTACCCAACAAAGCTACTGTCTACATAACGAACATTGTAAACAACATGCTCAAACTAAGATATTTTCCAGATAGATGGAAGGAGGCACAAATTATCATGATTAAAAAACCAGGGAAGGATGGCATTTTTCCGCAAAATTACAGACCTATCAGCCTACTATCATCAATAAGCAAGATAGCGGAAAGAGTTATATTAAAAAGACTCAACGACGAATCGGAAGCACTAGGCATCATACCAGAAGCTCAATTTGGATTCAGAAGCGAACATTCATGCGAACTACAAGTTCTACGTTTTACTGAATTTACAACAAAAGGCTATAACGAAAAAATGTATACGGCAACAGCATTTCTGGACGTCAGTAAAGCATTTGACAGGGTCTGGCATGACGGACTCATTTACAAAATGAACTCTATGGGATACAGCGAGGCGATGACATGCCTCCTTGGATCATACCTAGCCAACAGAAGGTTCAGGGTTCGAACGGGGGCAACTCTGTCCGAAGTCGGGACCCTGAAAGCAGGTGTGCCTCAGGGAGCTGTTCTGTCGCCTTACCTGTATACCATCTATACGGCCGACACGCCAAAAGAACCAGGTTCCCTGTTGAGTCTTTACGCCGACGACACAGCAATAGCTGTTAGCTGGAGAAATCCAGATCATGCAGCTAATCATCTGCAGAGAGCACTTAATAGATTCGAAAGATGGTGCATCAAATGGAAAATAGCCTTAAACCCGGATAAAACACAGGCTGTAATGTTTAGTCACAGAAGAAGTGTACCGAACCGAGAACTAATGATTGGGAACACCCCAGTAGAATGGACAAACGAGGCCAAATACCTAGGAGTATTACTAGACAAAAAACTCACATTTACGCAGCACATAAATCAACAAACGTATAGAGCCAAAGCGCTGAAAAATCAGCTCTCAACGCTTATTGGTAGAAGAAGTAAGCTAAGGTTTAAAACCAAAATCAGGATTGCGAATAGTATTATCCTGCCAGTCCTTTCGTATGCCTCTGCTGCGTGGGGACACACCTGTAAAACAAACAGGAAAAAAATACAAACAGCACAAAATCAACTAATCAGAGATGCCCTGAACTTACCGAGATATGTACCTCTGAGAAATTTATACAGAGACTCAGGACAAACAAGGATCCTTCACACAATGGACAAAAAGGCATACGAACTATTCAACGGACTAAACAACCACCCAAGTAGCATGTTAAGAGAGCTGACTAACTACAACGCAAATACCAGGACGGTACACAGAAGACCTAAACAGCAAATAGCCGGATATAGGGTCCCCAACGAATAAATGAAGAATGAGATGGTCGCAATGACGTCAAATAAAAGAATGCAGTCATCAGAAAAACAACCACCAAAAAAATATCTATTTTTAGGACTCTGGCGAGAGGATACAGGTGCCAAGGCACTTAGTTAAGGACAGTATACACCGGGGTGTGTGGAGGCCATATACACCCTGCAATGCACACCCCAACAAACCCACACAAATTAGCATGTAAGAATAAAAGGGTAAGAATTGTGCCGGCATTTTATAGTCCCAACGCCAAGGAAGACCCCCAAACCCAAAAAAAAAAAAAAAAAAAAAAATCGGTTGTTTTTCTTTTAAATTCAGAACTTCAAAAATCAATTTCAATTCATTAAACGTTTTAACGTAAAATTCATCCTATTTTTCTATATACAAGGCCCGTCAGGCCTTCTATATACCGCTGATGCGGATTAGGCCCTTAAGGCGGATCAAATGAATGCTGATCCTTTTCGCGACACTCGAGCACTGAGGTCATGTGCGGCAAGCATGGGCTCGGTGGCCGGACACACTTCGGGCGCCCAGCCGGCGAGGAGAACAAAATTTACTTTTGCCAAATCGGCGGCTGAGTGACCGAGCACACACTTTTTTCCGGACATGAAGTCGACAGCCCAGGCTGTCGGCTTCATGGACGGAACACACGCTCTTTTTCTTTTTTTTTAGGGACTTCAGTCCCGAAGTGAAGTTAGAGTAAAATCTATAGAGTCAGTAAAGTAAATAGGGAGAAAAGCCTAGAAGTGTGACCGGTTTGACCTTCGAACATGTGGATCCCATACTTAGTTTGGTATACACATGTTCCTAGGGGTAGGGTTGATCGCTTAGCGTGATTGTGTGTGTGTGTGAGAAACGAAGATTTGCGAAGAATGAGAAGTATTGCTGATGTTGTGGAATGCATAGCGGAACTAAAATGTAACTGAGCAGAGAATGTAGTGAGAATGCATGACTCACAATGAACGACCAAAATTACAAATTGGAGAGCAAGAGCAGACAAACGTCGTAGAGGAAGACCACCTGCACGTGGGGCTGATGACATCAGGTGTACCACCAAAAATTGGCAACAAAGATCACAAAATCGTAAAGAATAAAGGAGTTTAAAGGAGGTATATGTCTAGCAGTGGATATAATGAATGAAGGATGGATAATGTTCTTAAAACTATGGGGTGTGCATTTTTAAGTGTATAGTGCTCTAACACACCCCTTGTATATTTTTTGTGTCTTTGAATTTAAATTCAAATTGTTTTCAACTCTCTTAATTTCTTGTAAGGTTGGTTTCTGAGCCAGTCGAATATTTCGTAAGTTCTTTCTTTGCTGGTCCCTAGTGTTCTTTTCTGCTCAAAGTCTCTAAATACGTATCTTAGTAATATATATTCAGATATTTTTTTTGCAGCTTTTGTGCTTTGCGCTTTTGCAGGTATGTCACCACGCAACAGAGTTATACGTTAGCGATAATAGGTTTACTACTCTGATTTTCGTTTTAAACCTTACTTTGCTCTTTCTGGCTATTAGCGAAGAGAGTTAACTATGCCTTTGCTTTGTAGACCAATTGGTTCACGTATTCAGTGAACGTTAGTTTTCTATCAAGTGTTACTCCAGGATGTTTAGCTTGACCTGTTCATTCTACAGGGTTATTTGCTATCGTAATTTTTATGTTCGGTCTGCTTTTAAGATGTCTGTACATAATGGTCTATGTTTTGTTTGGACTGAAGGCGATCTTTCACTTCATGCATTATTTCTGGAAACTATTTAGTGTCTTTGCAAAAGGTTGGTTGCTAGGTTTGGGTCTTTGCAGCTGGATGGAATAGCTGTGCCATTCGCGTAGATGCTTACCAATGTTTTGGAATCTGTTAGAGTATGTGCCGTGTAAATGCTGTATAGGTAGGCATTGATCCTTATGGCACTCCTACTTCTAGGGCTCCAATTTCAGACATGTTGGCCCTACCCTATCCGAACTCTGAACCTTCTGTTGGCTAGGTATGACGCAAAAAGACATGTCATTGCCTTACTGTAAGGCCTTGGTGCCATGCTCTGTCCAGTTTTTTCACGTCAAAAAATGCTGCTGGTGTGTACATCTTCTTTCTGAATTTCTTAATTATGTATTCTTTAAGCCTTAATATCTGTAGTTCTCAGAAATGATCTGATCTGAAGCTAAAGTGAGCTTCTAGGATAGTTACTAATACCTGTGATTCCTCAATGAGTCTATTTAGAATAACTCTTTTCGCTATTTTACTTCTTAGCTAAACGGTTGCTAATTTTGTGGAAAAGTGAAGTTTTTCCTGGGTTTCGCATCACAGCTTCCTTTTTATCTGTTCGGTAAGTATCTTAGTCTTAGAATTCTGTTTATTATGCTTGTCATATGTACTATTGCCTTTGCCATCAGATTCTTTCCAGCAAGTTTTCTTTTTGTGTTGTTATCTGGTACTGGTGGTTTTTTTTGCGCTAGGTATTATTTTAGTTAATTAATCCCTAAGGAAGAGGTGTGTCTTATACCTATTCTATCCATTCTCCTTCTTAGACTCCTAGCGGATCTCTCTACTTCTTCTGTTAAGTCTATGTCTTTATAGGGATGTTATTTTACATGTTTTTTTCTATTTCGTCTCTCATGACTTTGGCTTTTCTTCCTGGGTGTACACAATTCCTTTTTCTGCATCTAGAGGTGAGATTGGGTTTTTGTCTTTGCGTAATACGTTTAATAGTTATCCCAACTTTCGTTTCTATGATTTCCCAATTGACTTTTCACTTTCCTGTATAGTTCGGTTGCAATTCTTCTATCCTTTTGATTGTTTGTTCGGTATGCCCTTCTTGTTTTTTCTATTTTTTATTTTACAGGGCTTTTTAGTTCTTCAATGTCATCCCTAAATCTTTCTTTTTCTCATTCTAAGCTGTCATCGCTGGTATTTACTATTGTTTGTTCTGGTATTGGTATTTTAATATGTGTTGCTTTAAACCATAATGCAGAGAAAAATACAGGGAGAACGAAGTATTGGAAGAAGACGCATCTCCTGGCTCAACAATCTGAGAAAGTGGTATAATTGCAGTTCCATCGACTTGTTCAAAGCTGCAATCTCAAAAGTGAAAATAACTGTGATGATTACCAACCTCCTTAGAGAAGACGGTACCGAAACAAGAAGAAGTTTTTATTTTACTACACATTCTTCAAGTTCTGCTATGTTATTTATTGTAGGTACTGCACCAATAGTCTCGCTCACAATTCGGTTCTAGTTTAGAAAACTCGTTTTCTTTCTTTTGTAGGGCTACAAATAGTTAAGATCTATTTCTCCTAGGATTAGGAAAATGAGTTGTGTGTCGAGTTACCTTTGTTTACTAAACGTAATTCGTATTGCTGCCTACGTTGTGTAAGATTGCTATGGCAAGGTATGGAAAGGACTTCATGAAAACATGTTGTGTCGTGGACTGGCCAAATTAACATTCATTTAATCTAAAAGAGAAGTCTTAACGAATCGCTCCATCTTTATTTGAGCATAGCGAGCTATACCTTTATTGTCATCTGACAGCTGGTTTGAGAATGACTAAAAGGTTGAGTGCTTACCCTTTATTAATTTTCATATATAGTATTAGCAGAAGAACCAGTGAAAATGATTTAGAATAGAAAACAATCAATTCAATTTTACTTATGGACAGATCTTATACATAGAAAAAAGACACCAAGTGTGCTTGCATAGCAGCAAAAATTTTTTTATTAAGGTATTATTTAAAAATATTACCTTATTAGTAGTACATTATACTTACATCGCAAATCCAAAACCACAAACGCTTCTTTTGGTTCTGTGAGTTTGGTATTGACAGCTTGGCACGTAAATAGAGCATCAAGATCTCTCCTACTGATTGAAGGCCATACTAGCACATTTTCTATAACGTCACCGGCATTGTGTTCGTAGTGATCGTCAACTATTAAACCATTCACCAACCACCTTACGATTGGCTGCGGGTGACCTCCGACGGTCCTACATTTCATTGTGATGTCATCTCCTTCGTCGTGTGGACCAACAGTGCCATTCAGTAATCTTCCGTATTGGTCTAATATCGTTGGTGGTTCTGGAGGAACTGAAAGTAAAAAAAGAAACTGTGAAAACCGCTATTTAAAATATTTTAAAGGCAAAAATTGTATTAATTACACTACTTATAAGGATGTACAATAAAAAAAAAAGATAAGTTTGTTCCACCCTGTTAAGATAAGTTTCACCCTAGATATATTTAAAAATATTTTTAAAGTAAAGTCTTATATTATCTGCAACTTTTACCTTAATTGATTTTTTTTCGTATCTCTTACGACAAGTATGTACATTAATTTCCTAACACTAATGCTGTACCCTGTATACAAATTACCAAACACAATATAGTTACGACTACTACTACTTGTCGGTGTGTAACGTTCTCCGCCGTTTTCCGACTTTGATAGGTTTTCTTCTATGGCCCTCTGTATCTCGGTAACTGTTTCTCGGTCTACCTCGTTTTCTCTTTCCTTCTGGTTGCCATTCTAATATTTCTTTTGGTATTCGTTGTTTAGCCATTCTGTGTATGTGTCCGAAGCAAATAAGTTGTTTTGTTGTTAGGTCATCTGTGATTGGTCGTTAGATTCCCACTATTTCTCTGATGCGTTCGTTCGTAATCCTTTATCTTCTAGATCTTCCTGCGACTTTTTCCCAAAAATCCATTTCTGTCGCATTCAGCGTGGCCAGTGTTCTTTCTTTCAGTAGTCATACCTCACAGCTATATAAAGTGATCTTTTTTACTATAGTCTCATATATCCTCTTTTTATTTTCTTTTCTGATGGATTGGTACCATCAAATGCTGTATAACATTGTGATGGCTTTTCTCCCTGATGGATTTCTCTCTCTTATGGCTTCGTGTAATATTCCATCTTGTGAAATAGTGACACCTAGATATTTGTAGTCACAGCAGTGCTTTATCGTCGTGATATTGAGACCGTGCAAGTTCGGAAGAGCGACACCTGGTGTCGTAAATCAGCAAAATTTACTGCGCTTTCATGTTAGATCGAGGTTACCGGATAACTGTCAAAGACATAGCCCCAAAAAAGAATAAGAAGAAAAAGTAAGATTGAGGTTATGTCGGTATGTTATTAAAAGGTAAACTTTGTATGTAGTATATATACAATTAAATACATTATTAAATTACAGCATTACTACTGTTAATATGAATGCAATAATTAAAATTAGATTTGAGAAAGTAAATGGCCAAATAACTTTTCAACCAAGCACTGAGCCAAAGGGAAAAGCTTTAGTAGTGGCAAATTATGTTAAGAAGGTGAAAGCATTAAGAAAAAATGGACAAAGCTATGTCATAATAGCTAAACTTAAAGTTACATTAGCATTCAACTTGATTTTTGGGTTAAAGTGAACTCTAAGTGAGTGTTATGAAACTGAAATTTTCACTTAAAAGTGAACTTTTATTTATTATTTATTTCAAACTGACTTTAAAATCGGGCGTAAGAATAATGCATAATTCAGGTTATGTTACTTATTTATGCTTTTTTATGATATAAATCCACTTATCTCTTTGTAGTAATTTGTGCTTCGAAGTTGGAAACGAATAAAACTTAAATTGAAAATTTTTTGTTGTATTTTTACAATTTATAACACAGCATTTACTAAATATCATTTTCTTCAGTGACAGAAGGTGTAAATAAACAAACGAATATGAAATATGACAATTTGACAATTGACAATATGAATTTATGAAATCTATGAAATGTGCAGTAAAAAATGCAAGATTTCTCCGCTACTTGCGCACGATCGTTTCTCGTATCACATCCAAGTACTTGCACGTCGCCAATAGGAGATCTTGTTGTTCTACTTCAATGCACAGGTATTCGGTTTTATTTTTATTTACTCTTAGACCCCATATATCATACTCTTCAATTAATTTTCGTGTCATAATGTTCAAATCGTGTTGGTGAGCGGTATCCCCATTGTCCTGCATTTTTGTTTCCATCTTTTTAAAGCACTTTCGAGGTATATTTTAAATAAAGTGGGAGACAAACAACATCCTTGCTTTAATTATTTTGATGTTATAAATCTTGTTGGTATTTGTGTCCCTGTTTTTATTTTTCTAATTGGTTGGTTATAGTGGTATAGCACTTTGATGGCTTTTCTTAATTATATATTAATATTCGTGATTTCCATTGATTGCCACAGCTTCTTCAGTGGAACTCTGTCGTAGGCTTTTCCTAGGTCGACGAACAACATATAAATCTCTTGATTTCATGCCATTCTTTTGTCTATTATCTGGGTTAAGAAGAAAATGTGCACAATTGTGGATCGGCCCGTACGAAATCCTGCTTGTTCTTCTGCTTCATAACCTAAGTATTCTCTCTCAATTCGGTCCTTTAAAACCTTTGCATATATTCGACCTACAGATCCGGTTACAGCTATTATTTGGTAATTTTTACAATTATTTTTATCACTCTTTTTATGTATGATACTACAGCTCTTTTTATGTATGAGCTACTAAATTATGATATATTTCATTCCGTGGGGATTTTGCTTGGGTTTATACATTCTTGAAATAGTTGTCGAAGACTTTCGTATAATTTGTTCGTTCCTCTTCAGCTGTTTACATACATTTCTAATTTTCTCTGTCGTTAATCTTATTGGCGAGGCGACTATTAAAGTTCTATCTTGGTTTTGATGTCTATATTCTTGAAATTCGGACTCTTTCGAAATACTTTTCTCAGTCTTAAGGTTTTATGCTCTGTAGTACTTCTTTATTCTTTTTTTTTTCTCAAGTTTTTTATCAGTTTCCAGCTTTCTGTGCTTTTAGTTCCTCCTAGATAAGTATTTATTTGTTGGCAGTTTCCCCGTCGGTCAGATAGCTCAGCGGGCTGTGCGGCTGCCTCTCATTCGCTTCACTGTCGAATGGTTTAGTGGATGTGGGTCGAGCCCCAGCTCGGTGTACGGAAAACAAAAAGTCTAACGCAGCAGTTTAAAATTCTAGATGAATCTGCGGCTTAGACTAGGATATGCTGGGATCTGATCGGGCTATGGTGGAGCAGTACGGCAAGAGATAAGGGTTTGCGGCTTGGTGATACTCCTCCATAGATCCCTACCGGACGGGCGTAACGCCTAAAAAAACCGGATATATATATATATATATATATATATATATATATATATATATATATATATATATATATAGTTTCTTTCCCAAGACTCGTTCTTATTATTAGAGTACAGCTTGTAACTATATTACCCAATATAGTTAACAGATGTAAAAATGTAATAGGCTGTCTTGGAACCAAATCAGAAAACATGAAAAACTACAGATAGTCACCTTAGTACTATAAGGTATTAACTACAAAAAATAAACAATAAACAACAAGATATTTTAGGAGAAAGAAAACTATGAAATACATTTACATTTAATTTAAATTAAACCATATTAAAGTACTCTGTTTTTCATTCTCGAAGAAGCAAATTATGAGAAACTTTAAAATAAATTTTCTTTAAAGAATATGCTATTTTAACGTTAGGTTAAAATTTTCGTCATTAAAGTGCACTCAAAAGGGACTTATATATAATATATTCATTTAGTTGCATATATACATGAACATGAATGAAACTACTTGCATTATTCATCTCCGTTTTATCGAAAAGAGAACGACCAAAATTTTCATGTCGTCGGAATTTTCTTCCATATTTAATTTTAAAACTTCTACTTCGTTAGCCTACTTAAGTAACTTTATAGGTATTATGTTAATATAATTGAATTTTAAGATACAGTGTCTGTGTAATGTCTTCTCTGACATAAAATATTTTCTTAAGTATAACAATTTTTTTAGTAATTAAGTTAATGCAGGTTAATACTGGCATCCATTTGAAATATTTCTTCTACGATGTTAAGTCAGTCAAAGGAGTGATAATGACTACAAAATTCGGAATATAATCTCGGAGCCAGTTTGCCGTGCCAATAACACTTCTCGTTTTTGTGACGGATTTGTGTCGTTGAAAACATTGGATATTCTCGAAATGTTTTTCCAAGGGTTGAGTATCTGTGTCGGCTACTTTGTGGTCCAAATACTCTAAAGAGTTGGTCTTCTTCTCATGGCGCTGTCTCCTGTCGAAGGTTGACGATCCAAATGGCAATTGTAGTTTCGGAAACTGCTACGCAAAAGATTTCTGCGGATGAGCGGTCTACTCATTTCCTCAGGTCTTTCAGCCACGAGTTCTGCCGTCTTCCTAGTGATTTTTTGTCCTGTACGTTTATTGGTAGCAAACTGGGTTCTGAGTCGCTTTAGGACGAGGTAGAAATGTTTCTGATGGTCTTCCCAAGAGTGGGAATATATAATTATGTCGTCCATATAGACTTTTACAAATTCGTCTTTAAAACCAGCAAAGACTGATATAACCAACTTTTGGAAGGCTGCAGGTCAATTTTTGAGTCCGAAAGGCATAACTACGAACTAATAAGACGATCCGTCGGATAGACTGAATGACGTCAACGGAATCAAATCTTTGTGTAGTGGTATTTGCAAAAAACCACTCTTCAAGTCCAATGTCAAAAATGTTCTCGCTGTTCCTAGCTCTTTGATTGCATCGTGGTTTGACGGCAGGGCGTCGTCAATTGTTGTCTTGTTCATTTTACAATAATCGACACAAAATCTAGGTGTGCCATCCTTCTTCTTGATGATCACCACTGAGCTGTTATGGAGTAATCGACTTAGTAGGATAACACCTGCTGAATTGCAAAGCATCTCCTCGACTTCAACAGGACTTTTTTTTGGATGGAAAAAATTTAAATGGCTTCGTATTGATCGGCCGTGTGTCTGACAGCTTAATTTGTATCACCGTGTCTTAAGCAGAGGGTTGCTTAAGTTTGTCATCGAAGACGTTTTCGTACTCCTGTAGGAGTTCCCTTACAGTTTGGACTGCAAATTGCGAAGCTTGTTCATCTTGGAGTTGAGTCTTTAAGTTGCATTGTTTGTCTGAATACGACTTTCAGTAGAGCAATTTTCGTGCTTCTTTTTCCACGTGCAGAAATTTTCAGTTAATGTCTATTAGAACCTCTTCTTTTTCAGAGTCATAGCA